GATTTAATTGCCTCCTATTGAAATCCGCTGGAGTTGGATTTATATTTTTATAGGGTCACTGCCCTGCCCCAAGCATTGGATGTAGACCTAACTTAATGATCTAGATGAATGCTTTTTAACTAAAGATATTTGATATGCACACTGAGGTATAAAACCTGTCCATCATTTTAAAATAATGGAATGCTATTTTGTCAAGTTAAAATCAGGTAAAGATGACTAGGTTAGTGATTAATGCCAACAGGGGTCAGAGGAATCTAAAAATAATGAATGCTTTGGAAAATAATAGGATAATTCCAATTATTACAATACTGAGACTGAGCCGAATGGATTTAAGAAAAAAATAACATCATTCACTCTTTTCCTCCCAGTCTGTGTGCCTCTCCCTCTGTCTCTGCCTCTCCCTCCCAGTCTCTCTCTCCCTCCCAGTCTCTCTCTCCCTCCCAGTCTCTCTCTCCCTCCCAGTCTCTCGCTCACAAAATATTCTTTGTCATAGAAAATCGTGGAAACGTTAGGCGAACGGTTTTTAGTTATAATTTATTTTCAGTTTGCAATAAAAGTACATTGTAAAGCATTTCATATTTTTTATGAAACCCTTTAGCGCTTGAAGTGTCTCTTCAAGATTAATGATGACAGAATATTGTCGAAGGGCCGAAAATGACTGGTTGAACTTTTAATCCCCTAATGCCAGGTAGGTGGTCCTATCCTCACCTTTTTCCTCCCAATTCTCATACTCTACCTGTGTCGTTGGCTGTTGAGGAAAATAACCGTTTTAGGTCGTATAACCATTCATTTCACAACCCCCCCCCCACCTGTCACTGGTACGATTTGTGGATTTTAAATGGGGGAAACGACAGTTGGAAATCGGAAATGATTTCAACCTTCATAATGATATCCAGACCCTGTTTTATTCATTATATTTTGAGTCAAGAGTCAGAGGCAATAAAATGGAGTTTGGGTCATGGTTTATGACACTTTTTTAAAACCCCAGTTTAATGTTTTATCTCCGCGTATTTGTTAAATTTATTACAACATCTTCCAGTAAATATCAATCCTAATTATATATTGCTATTAGGTTGTCATAACTAAATGCTGTTGTTCAAATGTCAAGTGGCCTGGTAGATAGAACACAGGACATTTAAAAAAAAAAAAAACTCTGGTCATATTGGACGACCCCCACCCCCATTTCAGTAAGCCTGATTCAGGGTAAAGGGTTTTAAGCAGGTAACTACTGGTTTTATTGATTGAATCTTGCCATTTTTTTTGTAATGACTTAAACGGCCGAAAGAAAACAACAAAAGCATGTACTTTGGTTAGTTTAGGTGTCAGGTAGGTGCCATACGTGATACACGCTTAGGCGATCATGTATCTTTCGATAAATGACTGACGAGGCAGATTTTTTTTCCTCTGCAGTAGGTTGCCATCCAAGGTTATAGAACCTGGTCTCTCCTGCTATTTACCCATAGCTGAGGGGTGGATTCATACCCTTTCCCAAGGGTACTAGCACGTAAATGAATGTAATGGAACTCGAACTCTGATCTCTGACTCCTCAACCCGAGCCGCTATCCACTACTCTACCGTGCCTTTAGGAAAACACACGAATAACAAGTGAACACTTTATTAGCTGAAGTTAACAAAACTTGTTTAAATGGACTCATGTTGCAAGCGCATATATATATATATATATATATATATATATATATAATTATATTATATAGTTGATACGCGTATTTGAGTAGATGGTCCGTTTATTTATTGAACAGTGTATTTATTTTAGTCAACCGGCCTGAATATTCGAAATTTTTTTTTTTTTTTTTTTTTTTTTTAAAGAGAAGAAACCGTCATTAGATCTGCCGTCCACGGAGTACGTGAATGGTCAAGCAAAGCTGAATACAACCTTTAAACACAAATTTCTCCTTGACTCTCGAAATAGACATATCTGCTCAATTTCACTTCAGAACGTCAACAAAGAAATTTCTAGAGAAAGCGGTGGATTTTTTTTTTTTTTTATTTGTATAAAATTTAATAAAAATTCTATCGTATTAATATACGATAGAATTTTATTACGTTATTTTTAGTGGATACTTGTATTTGTGAAAACGCCCTGTTTATTAAACAGTATATTTTTTGTCTACCGTCCTTGAATATTCGTGAATTCAGGCTGGTAAACAAAAATAAATATACTGTTTAATAAATAAATCATTTACTTTATCGTGAGCACTTGTTTCGGGTTTTGTTTTTTGCTTTTTTTTTTTTCATGAAGTTTTGACTTAAAATCGAAAAGAAAAACCGTATCATTTATTTTAACTCTTGTATAGTTAGATGTTGAATGCGTTAAGAATGCTTCGTAAATCCTGAAATTAATTCCCGTTTCTCAACGAATTAATAGAAATATTATAAACGTGTTAACAAGGATTTCAGATTGGTCGACATTTGAAAGTACAGTGTTATTTGTTTGAGTTGATTTTTCAGTTAATCTTGCTTCTATTGATAGAAAAAAATACTGTATAACTATAAAATAAATATAAAATATAAAATAACTATAAAATTACTGTAAAATCGGTAAAAGCGAAAATCAAAATTTTGTAGCGGTGGACTTTCAAAATTATTTTATTTTTAAAATCTGCTTGTTAATAAAATTTGCTAAACTTTACACACAAGGGGCTATAATGGTCACAAAGCTGCTTGTTTCTACTAGAAAACATTTTGTAGAAAACACCATTCTAAAGAAACCTAATTGTCGTAAGATAATTGGGTTCTTTATATAAAACAATTTAAGTCAAGCCTCGACCAAACTATATTTGACAACAGTAGTAACATGTTGGATGTCTTTTAAAACACCTCAAACATGGAATCGTAAACACATCTCTTCCAGAGCAGTTTCAAACTTCTACTGCTTCCACACAATACAATTTAGAGCATAAACGCGGAAAAGCATTAACAACAAATACATTGAAAATGACAAATATCATTACAAAAAGTTTCTACTCTTTTACCTCAAAAAAAAAAAAAAAAAAAAGGAAAACTGTATGAACATTGGAGAAACTTAATAAAAATCTTTTGTTTGTCACATTCAATGAACAACCATTTCAAATCAATGTTTTTAACCGCAAAAAGGCTTAAATTTCCCATACTAATTACCGCCTTTGACTCTAGAAGATATTTGAATCAAAATTTCGAAGTTTCTAAATAGGTTCTTCTTTTTAAAAATTACATGATAAATCCTTTGATATTTTGTCTTAATATTAACACAAATATTTTGACGATAAATCTTTGTTTATGATTTTGGGGATTTTTTTTTTTTTTTCCAACTAGTATACACATTTTTAGAGTATCGTTCGAGATGTATGATCAACGTCACTACGAAATGCAGATGTTATCACAATTACAATAAGTTTATCTTAGTAATTTACCCTCAGAGTATGATCTTGGAGGAGATCGAAAATACCTGGGTAGGAAAAAACTGCGGTGCTTTCTTTGGTGAATTTCATTTTAACATCGACAAACTGGTTAGACAACGGGAAAGGATCAGTAGAAAAATACACAATATGTCTGTATTATTCAATGAAACATTTTTGAATGACGAGATATGAGTATAATTTAACTGTACCTTGTCAAAGTTGCCTTGAGTAATGAACTCTTTTTTTTTCCAAAGTGTGAAAGTTTGTAAATAGAGCTTTTCATAAACATAATGAGAATTTCTAGTATTTCTAATAAAACGAAGGAGGATGTTAGTCTAACCGTTCGAGTTCTAATTCCAACTGAGACTGCTCTCGTCGTCTTGCTTAATGTATGGTGATTTTCTAAGCGTATCTTAGATGTGGCACAGGGTCGAAAGCATGGGACACCCAGTAAGGATCGAATTCACTTTTCAGTTGTAATGGTTTTAGCGAGACAAGCTTGTTAACCATTACACCACGTCAAGGTGCCATTGCTCAATGTATGAATGTAAATCTGCACACTCTGTCCTATCGCCAGGAAAAATTGGCATGCCACAATGGCTAATGGAAAAGTGTGCATGTGTGAGCAGTTGGAAAAAAATTCTTTCATAACTACTTGGTCTGAGTAGTAAGAGTAAGAGCTGTTATGCCTATTGTTAACCTTGGTGGAGCAATCAGTATAAATATAAAAGGGTGCTGATCTTGATCGAACGATGTCTTTAAAAAAATTGTTTTGAGCCAAATTTTGAGAAGTTGGTCAGCTTAGTGATTTTTCAGCATCACTTCGTAAAAATGTGCAGATTTTTTTTTTTTTTTTTGTCCCGAAATGTTTGCTAACATACATTTGAGTGTTGAAACAGATATAGGTATCTTTACAAAAAAAATTATAGATCATTAATTTTTCTTTTATACCATGTTCTTTCAGGATGTAAGCGATCATGACTCTCCACAGCTTCCTGTTGCTCTAATTTATATCCCTTTATGATCCCTCTTTATACTTGTGATAGTTCATCCTCCATCCATTTATTCTAACTTGTCGAGTAGGTTTCTCTTTGCTTTTCTCGGTTTGTCTTGCTTTTTCGATATGCCCGAAGTTAAATTCTCCAAACTTTCTTACTTCATCGCATCTTAGAATTTTCAGCTATCATTTTCTAATTATTAGAAACATTTTATTTGTACTTTCTATTCTCCTTAAACGTCGTCATTTATCACCTGCTCTGTTCGTGATATTTCCAATACTCATCATTAAAAGAAAAAAAATACATCTCGGTCGCCAGTTTAATGAATGACTCGCATTCTATGGCCCACCAAATCTTCGCAGGCTATGCAAAGCCGGAAAAAATATTTTTAGATTGTAAGAATTTTTTTTTGTTTTAGAGATAATTTAGTAATACACGTCTTACTAATTAACCCATATCTGGAGGAGACAAGGTGGATTCATGCCTTTCTCAAGAGTATTTACATGTAAATGAATATAAAGAACTCAACGAGAAATAGAACTCGGCTCTCCGATTAACAATCCTGAGCCGTTATCGATTACACCACCCGTACATCCAAACTCAAAGCACCTGGTATCCCCAAGCGGCCACCCATCTAAGTACTAACCAGGTTCTATTGCTTAACTTCGGCGATCGTATGGGGAAGCGGTATTTCAACATGATGCAACCGTAAGCCCAGTCGCCACGTCTTTCATTTCTGGTGAGAAAGATTGTGCAACATGCATTGCCATATATGAATTTAGATAATGCAGTCTCATCAACGTGACGTGGTTTACTGCTGTTTTTTCTACAAATATTTTCATGGCAACTATAACGAGCTTTTTTTTCTCTAGTGAACCGACTGCACAAATTTAAGCGTGCAACTAGATTGGCATTTAGATCCCACTCTCTATTGAAATAGTTAAATGCAACCGCCTCTTCGACTCTAAGAGTTTCTTTTTTCGCACTTACCACTCATGTAACTCTCTTCCGTTTCCCTGATAACTACAAAATTCAAAAATGTAAATACAATGTCAATCGCTATTTACTGTCATCTTGAATCCGTTCAGCTTTTGTCCTTTCCCCAATCTCATTTTATTCTCTCACTTTCACTCTCTGTACCCCCTCCCCTGCATACTGGTAGCATCACCGCCTTGTTTGGGGTAAAATGATTAGAAAGAAAAGTTCAGCATTTTTTTTCTCTAAGGACATTTTTACACTTTATACATTTTCTTTTTCCGAATCAGAACCATATTCAACAACTTGATGTCTTCTATAGACGTTGCCTTCATATAGTCTGTGGCTATAGCCTGAAAGATAAAATATTCTGTTTTCAAAGTGAGAAATGTCTAATGCAATCGCGACTTCGATCGGTTAATCGAATGTGTGTATGAATGACGAAAAAACGCTAAGATTCTTCATGTACAACCATCAGTTATCGGGAGGAGATGAAAACTCCTCTTGTGAGTTATAAAGATAAACTCCAGCAAAATTCAAGTTGGCTTTAAAAGTCATCGAAGGCACAAAAGCAGGACATTCCATTCAATCCTCATCCGTCGAAAACGACGAAGAGTCCATCATATATTATCACTTTGAGCCAGTTTATTCTTGTGTAAATATATATATATATATATATATATATATATATACACACACACACACACACCGGACGAAAGAAATCGTTCAGTGCCTTAAATCTCTGGTACAAAGAAAAAAAACACTCGGCGAGTAATAAGTTAAAACGAAAAGTTAAAATAAATCCGTTCACCCTGATAATCCCATGTGGTGAAACCTAGATAGGTAGTACCTGACTCATTAGGATTTATATTATATAAAAGTCGGGTACTACCTATCTAGGTTTCACCACATGGGATTATCATTCGCTGGGTGTGTTTGTTTTTTTTTTTTTTTTGTTTGTTTTTGTTTTTTTTTTGTTTTTGTTTTTGTTTTTTTGTTTGTTTTTTTTTTGTTTTTGTTTTTTTTTACCAGAGATTTAAGGTACTGTTGTTTTTCTATATAAACAGCTATTAATTTACAAATGTAAACTAATAGCTGTTTATATCGGACCCAGAGTGTAAACAAAGTAATTGAAGCAACTAATAGATTTCTGTATCTGAGTATATTTCTTCTTACTCTAAACATTCTTTTAGCGGTTACACGTGTATCAGCGTATATTCATGTTTATTTACAAACAGAGAAATTAATATCTACTGGCCTAGATCATCAAAAACAAATGTACCTCGTAGCAGGGATGGAAGCAGCATACACTTTTCCTAGGAAACCACCCTTTAGCTACGCCACGGCGGTCCTTTTCAATCCAGCAATGTTTCTTATTGCTATAAATGTTACTCTAGGGATATCTACACAAGAACGTGTACTTGTTAAAATAACTTTAATAATTGCTTTGCTTAAGGACACCCGTTAGCCTAATAGTAAGACACGTCTAACTAAATGGTGGAATCCTAGGAAGAATAATTTTAGATCAATTCCTGTCAAGTATATTTACTTCAATGATTTAGTCTAGTAGACATAAATTTTAGTTTGTAAATAAACAGCAGTGTCGACTAAAACACGTGTCTTAACTAAAATTATGTTTATACTATAGTGACAATTATTAGTCGGATTAACAAAAATGTCTCTTACTTGCTTAAATGACTTACATTTCGGATGTGAAAAAATAAATTACATACAGACCAAGAAATGTATACTTAAGATTAACTAATGAAATCAAATCCCACTTTTAAGCGCAAATGTTACTGTAGTGAATTTCCTCAATTCTATTCAGAATTGAGAACGTTTACAGGTGAACCCAACCCACTTACATAATTACAGCGATTAGGTGAGTACGGTACAAAACCAAATGCCATTGACGCGACACGGTTTTCAAAGTTGGAGGTTTAACTAGTTAAAAAAAAAAAATAGATTTAAAATTAGGGCTTTTACCTGGTCTCGAACACAGTCGTCTGACACCTGCAAAAATACGTAACTATTTCAGTTGCAAGTCAAGCTTCTTTTTTTTTTTTCTTTATTTTTCTTTTTTTTTTTTTCTTTTTTTTTTTTTTTTGGGCCTGTCTATATTTGAGACGGAACTACTTCTATGAAACTCATACGTTTTTTCCAGAAATCCCTCATAGAAAATCTTGTCAAAAATGCCTTTAGTTTCCGGAGTGGGCGCGGGTATATATATATATATATATATAACACTCACACTTATTTAAATATGCTATTTTATACATTAGATAACAAAAAAATTCCAGGACTGGCCAAAAGCACTTGATTTCAATTGGCTGGAGAGACATGATAAAAACAAAATAAACACTTTACTCATTTTTCTCACAACCAGCTTATCGCTTAACACTTGAACCTCAAAATGGGAAAAGACGACAAAGCCAAACATGCCTACTTTCATTATTGAGGTATTGTTGCTATGTTGAATGATTCTCCCACTCTACTCCTTTTCACCTCACATTCTCGTATGTATGTATGTATGTATGTATGTGTGTATATTTTTATATATAATCACCCTGTTCCTATCTCACACCGTAAAATGAACTTCATAGGCAGATCATTACTGGGTGGTCTACATTTTATCTTTGTGATAGAAATTAATATAATAACAGAACGACGATATAAACAGTCTCGTTGTACTTCTTGATAATGCTACAAATTGTCGATCTACGAATATTTAAACGCTTGGAAAGTGTTTTATATCCATTATCTTGTTTGTACGCATCAACTATCTTCATTCGGAACTTCTTGTCAAATCCAGCTGTCTTCGCCATGATTGCAGAATTAATGAGTTATCGCAGTGTGCGCAACTCACATATTTACTTCATTTGGTTTTAGAATGTTATCAATACTATTTCATTTTCGATGAGTGTTTCTATTAAATGGCAAATTGAGACAAAATAACATTACTATCGCCATAGAGCAATATTATTTCATAATTTCCATAAAAGGGGACAAATAATTTTATGTCAATTTTTTTTTTAACACATCTGTAACTATCAATATAATAGATGGAAGCTTCTAAAAATGTAACGGATTATTCAAAACGAAATATGGAATCAACTGTTTATAGTAAATTCAATAAGTACTTATAAATATTTGCATTTCCTTTAAAAAATAAGAAAATATACAGTGGTGGGGTGAATAATTCTGTCCACAATTGTTTATTATTTTATATAATTATTATTTTATATAATTATTTATATAATTATTATTTTATATAATAAATTATTTTATATATTATTATTATTATTATTATTAGCAGCAGCTCCAAGTCGAAAATATCAGTGTTTGGATGTCAATCTAAGATCATTTCAGAGAATTCGAAAAGAGTTGCATGCGTCTTATGGTGATTACGAAGGTACGGCACCTCGGAAAATGCACTCTAATCGTTCTAATAAGTAAAAAAAAAACGAAAAAAAAAGAACTCCCGAATTTGGTGTGGGCCTCTGAAATGTTCGTATTGGAGCTTCCGTTTCCAAAATTTCTGGCGTAGTGAATTGCATCTCACACACACACACACACACATATATATATATATATATATATATATATATATATATATATATATATATATATATGGTTATTCAAAAAGAATGAACCGATTTTATTATGCAATATTTTAAGGAGAATCAATAGAAAACTCCAGCTAAGTCACAAGTATTCTACTCACAATCACCTTTTATTTCCTGTCTTAGAAGTGTTCAATATGACCGCAACATCAATATGATAAGAGAATTCCTCCGAGGCGCGTATCAGCATATCATGATCTACTGAATTGATCGCTGTTGTTCGATGTTTAAGGTCATCATGGGTAGCGGTGGAACACAAACGCGATCTTTTACGTATCCCCACAAGACAAAAAAAATCACACACGGTGAGGTTTGGGGATTTCTCAGGCCTAACACAAAAAGCAAGGTCTTGGTAAATATCTGAACGAGACGAAGTCTGTAAGGTTTCAAATATAGACGTCTTCTTAGCACACGCCAGATAGTGGATTGAGAGATTGCAAGCTCACGGTTAGCTCGATTTGTGGACATCCGTTAACTCCCCTCAAACGCAGCACGGATTCTCGCCACTTGTCCTTCCGAAACTCGTGGTCGTCCTGGACTTTTCCTTTACACAGACACCCTCTCTTGAAACTGTTTAAACCACTGTCGAATGTTCTTAGAGGAGGGCGGATTTATGTCGAATTGCCTTCGAAAAGCACGGTGCACCGCGACAACGATATTTGTTTTTGCGAGCTCGAGAACGCAAAATGCATTTTGCTGAAGACTCACCATTTGCGGCGGCGTTAAACAAGTTTCTTAACGTTGCCGGAAATACGACGCGACTACAGCGTCCCTGTAGCAGCTATTCAAAACTTAAAAAAAAAAAAAATCCTTTCAAATGGACACTAATTCCATGACTGTTTTAGAACTGAAGCAATGCGTCATGAAATCGGTTCATCGTGTGAATACTAGCTGAAATACTCCAGCTTTGCTGTGTGTCACACATTTATCGTGCCGATGTGACCTCCATCTTCTGGCTTTCGCCTTCTATATTTTGGATAGGTGTCATTCCTTTGTTCAAATTTTAATCTAATTTACATCGAAGGAAAAAAAAACCTTTGTGGTGGTTTGTGCATAACAGCTTGACCTGACCCATTTGATATGTATTTGATGCAATACT